TAATAATAATAATAATAATAATAATAATAATAATAATAATAATAATACTAAATCACAAATGCACTGTTTGATTCAAGACGATTATTGCCTTGGAAAAGAAACTGATTCTCAATCTATTAGTCCTCATTTTATTTTTAGGTTAGGTTCAAAGAATATTGGCCTGACTTCCAGTGTTTATTGAATCAATGTTTATTTATTTTTATTTAAACCTTACGCTCCACAGAATTTTAGGTAGCTCAGAACAGCAATATCAAATACTGAAATATCAATCATAAAAACAGAGTAGCAACACAGAAACATCGTGCCCTTTTAACATCCAGAGGTAAAACAAGTTGAATGCCTACTGATTTACTGTATATGTTCTACCTTAATATATTCAAAAGCCTACATACCTTTTTCGTTCTTTTTTCTTTTTAGTTCTAATTTTCTTATAAATTAGATTTAGGATTAAGCAAATGCTAGCAGTAGTAGCATTGCCTACCGTCCCTGTCCTATTGTTTCTCTTATTCTTCTTTTATTTTTCTTATATGTACCCATTTCATGTATTCACAACTATGTATACACTTATACTTATTATCTTGTAAACAATTGGCAAATCAAATAAATAAAATAAATAAATAAATAAATAAATTCATTTACTAGAGTGAACTATGTGTTATCCAGCTCTTACATGAAAAATTGTTAACTTTAAATATTTTCTTTCTCCACCTGCATAATTTTGTATACCTTTCTTCCATTTTCTTTACTTTCATTCTGGCTCTATAACATCATTCAATATAGGGAGACTTATGGGCATATGTTTTAATTTAACACAAGACTGAATATTCATTAGTCTCCTACAAGCTAACATTACTGGCGGAGAAGTGTAATCAAAAACACAAGAACTCTGGACCCGCTTGTGGTCTTGTTGGGCATTCCAGCATGTCTTTGTAGTGGCTCCTAATTCTCCACTATGATTCCATCCTCAATCTTCTGCTGCTTTAGTTAAATATTTCAGAAATTATGAATCAGAGGTAGTGTTTTAAATGGTTGCAGCTTGTGCCTAAATCTATCTATGGCTGAAGACCAAAGATTCAACGGGATAAAATTTTGCACTGGATAAGTTCACATATCACACAATGCAAGACTTTATTTTAATCATGAGTTAATTCACAAAACATTATATCTTGATGCAAATGTAACGCTGAGTAATAAGCTATTGTTTAGCAATCACAATGGCTGTGTTCATTTACTTATTATCCTAGGCCAAAATGAAACAAGCCACATTGTAGCTGAGCATCCCATGTGAATCTAGTTATTTCAGTACCAGACAGAAGAGTTTTATAAGGCATTTATTAAGGTTTATATCCTGTTCCAATGGAAAAAACAATTCCGTTAAAGAAAAGAGGCCTAAATGACAGGCAGCAGATCCAACTTCCATGTGGAATGCTAAATTCCTCAGGGCTACTAGATCTGAGTTGCAAAAAAATCTTTTCTTTGTCAGCTGAATAACAATAATTCCATAGACAGAAACTGTTATGTCTGATTTTCATATTGGTTTCAACGTTTACACAAATAGTTCTTAGTTTCTAGGTAGCATTCTTTTGCTTATATATGTTTTCCTTAAAATGTTTCCATGTATTCATTTAGAATTTTATATGAATATCTCATTTGGAAATTTTAGTTGGGAGAGGTGATTTCTAGCAACTATTTGTTTATTTCATAAGGAATTTAGATTTTTTATCCATAAATTACTAATATTTTTAGTGTTAGTATATTATATTGGAGAACAGATATTGTTTTGCCCATATCTAACCTTTGGAGTCCTTTTAAGAGTTAAGCTCTTCTAAGAATTCAGTTTGTCCTCAATTTTTATTGTTTATCATGGCATTTTAATGTGATTTTTGTAAATAGTTTGCATCCTATAATTAGGATGTTTGTTCTTGTAGTTCTTGTATTTTTTTTACTTTTTTTTTGCTGTCCTTGCTAATTTGGTATATTTTTGGATGTATACTTTTGTGAACTCCTTATCCTGTATCACAGAATTGCCTTCCTGAGCTATCTTTAATTCTGTAGCATCACTTGCTTTTCCTGATAGTGTCCCCTTGTTTTTGCTTTGTTGGACAGTGGGAGGATAAGACTGATAAAATTATCTTGGTGTAGAAATGAAGACATGTCTGTGTTGAAGATGTTGGAAATCCAGGCACATTGCTGGACCTTCACCCAAAGATTAAGCTCCAAGAACTTGGATATATTCCATACTCTTTTTTTTTATAGCCCCTTTATCCTTTCTCCATTTTTGCCTAGAAAACAGACCATCTGAGATCAAACACTGTGCAAAGCATATTGAAAAAACCATGCTGGCCTGGTTTATATGCATATACATCATATATGCCTAGTTTATACTGTATGCATATGCATCATGATCTCACACAATGTTGGGATATTGCGTTTTCTTTTTTGTAGAGTAGCCCTCTGAAATCCTGAACTTTAGTCCCCAGAACTAATAACAATAGATTTGTGTGTAGAGTGGCCCTTCAAGACAATTTAGAAATTATAGTTTTCCTAGAAAATGTGAGTATGAGTAGAAGCCTTTAGTGCTGGTGGTTACCCTCCAAATTTATGTAATTTCAAGAGCTCACAATGATGTATGAAAACTAACGGCTGTACAATTGTTTACTTCTACACTTCATCCCTTTGGACACAACATAAATGCTGTTTATGTGTCTCTGAAGGATATTTCTTAATAACAATGGCTAATTCAGTTTTCTGCATTAGACCCCTCCTTACTACAATTATTTCAAAAATGTTAAGTAGCACATATGTTTTCTAAATAAATAAGTAATATGTGATCTGATATGAATATCACACTGTGCTAAAGTATGGTCCATTATGTTTTAGCTTAGAAGGGTGGTGTTATGGCATTGTGCAACACGTGAATCCAAGTAACTCTACCTTATGCAGCAATAGTGTATAAGAAAAGCATGGTGTAATAGAATGTGGAAACCAATTCTTTGAGTGAAAAGCTAAGAGACCTGTTATATTTATGAATTTAGAATTATGAGGTCTATTTTCATGTGGATGAGACAACACAGAAAGAAAACATACTCAAATCACATAACCAACCTAACAGCCATAAAAAAAACATTATTTTCTATTACAATTTATTACGCAGTAATTTGTTTTCCCCAAGTAATCCTTTGGACAGTATGTAATGAAAATAATATTGCAGTAGAAAGCCTTTTTCTATACCCATGGCATTTAGAGACTATAACTCCCAGAATTCCTAGCCAGATGTAATAGAAAGAATGAATAACCTTAAGAAATAGGAAGAAGAACCACTATGAAGATGATGGTCAGATTTTTTAAAAAATCCAACTCTGGAGAAAACTATATTCTGAGTAAACATTTCAAAGACATCCCTCCTTCTTTCTTACAAAGATTAAAGGAAGGAAGAGTGAAGGGCATTTAGTCTTGTCAAAAATTCTAATACTTATATTTCTACAATAAGTAATATTGGTCTACATGGGTTACCTTGAAGAGCTGATGGGAAATAGCTGGCTTGGGAAAGTTGCTTAACAATTGAAATCAGACTATGCTGTTAGGTTAATGAATCGCTCTACTAATAGTTGAATGAATGGATGGAAACTATGCAATGGATGGAAACCATTCAAGGAGAGAACCAAACTAGGAGAAACTTCCTGACAGTTAGAACAATTAATCAGTGGAATGGCTTGCCTCTAGAGGGAGGCATCCAGTGTGGATGCTCCAACACTGGAAGTTTTAAAGATGAGATTGGACAACCATTTTTCAGAAATCCTGCCTGAGCAGGGGTTCTATTAGAAGACTTTCAAGGTCCCTTCCAACTCTATCATTCCATTCAAGTTACCAGATATGATGAAGTTCAGAACAAGTTTATCCTTTCTTTGTTGTATTTCTCCAGATTTTGCAATGCAACTCTCAACTAAGAAGAAAGAAAGCACAACAGGGGTGTCTAGGAATTGGGATGACTAAAAAGAAAACTGCAACTACAGCTACCCCAACCCTGTTTTATATGCGTTGCACATGCAACACATGTAAAAAGAGGCCATCAATTTATGCCAACCTGGGTTGTCCCTGAACTAGAATAAAACATATAACATTGCATAGTTTAGGACAAAAATATGCATAAAAGTTCAAAGGAACAATAAAAAAAAAGAAATGCCACACTGTGCATTTATGCTTTTTACAATATTGCAAAATAATACAGAAATAGGATATGTAGAAACGAATGCTTATTAAATTGAGACTGAATGGAAAGGATTTGATTTCTCTACTGAAATGGATATTTCATGTGTTTTGAGAAGCAAATGAAGTCATTGTAATTCTTATAGCTCCTGCTTAATGTACTTACTTTCCAGGAAGTGACATTAGAGAAATATGTCAGGGATTTCACTTAAACGCAACAAAGGAAAGCTTTGTTGCTAAGTCCTTCCAAAATTATTACTGGTTAAATTTGGTTCAGCTGATGATTCCAGGCAAAAAAAATAATTTTATTTAAATTAAGACCCAGTCTAAGACTCATAGTAGCAATAATCATTGTAATTAAACTGCTGCATTGGTTAACATGCAAAAGGCCTCACTGAACTATTCTTTGATGAGTTTAACTGTCACTTTGGAGAATACTGAGATTGAGCCAAAATTACTGTTTTTCCTATATCGCATACATATTATTTTCATCTGGGAACTTCTATCTATGGGTTTTTCAGCACCATTTGGAATCTATTTACATCAAATTAGCTCAAGTATATTTAGAATCTTGTACATTTTTACAGCTTATTGCTTTCAAATAAATATTTTTGTAATCTAAAATTAAATGTAGTCTCTCTGTAGTCCAAATTATGTGAAATGACTCAAGAGTCCCCCAAAATATGTTCCATAGCTACATCTACTTAAGCTTGATGTAGTGTCTCCTGTGATTGGATTCCTGGGCACGCCAGCCTAAGTTCCCCACAGTTAGATCACAAGGAGATTCTGAATAGTCATTGACTGCCTTCCCAATCTCTACGAAGCATGGTTTCACTGAACAGGGTTGGATGAGTTCATACAACATACTAAACCATAAGGAAACCACCTTGACTGGATTCACTGAAGCAGTGCTTTACAGAACACAACTGCAGTTTTCATAAGTGTATGAAGACCAAGACAGAGTGAGAGGAAATCAATATTTTACAATGTTGGAAACAACTGTGTTGTCATTGATTAGCTTGTCATTGATTAACTCCTTCTCAATTTAGCACTATGGGATGATCCTATCCTTAGCAGATTGGGAAAGACCTGGACCTCAGCAAGAGCTTCAACAAAGGGGACTTCCGGTTTGTCGGCTTCGCGAGCGGCAGGGATTTGCGAAGCTGCGCGATCCCTGCCGCGCTAGCCGCTTCTGGGGCTCCGACCCAGACGGGTACGGAGCTAGGCTGCCCTGCAGGGG